GGGAAGGCATCTCTGCGGGGGGAAGCAGTGGGGGAAGGCATCTCTGCAGGGGGAAGCAGTGGGGGAAGGCATCTCTGGGGGGGGAAGCAGTGGGGGAAGGCATCTCTGCGGGTGGGGAAGCAGTGGGGGAAGGCACTCTGCGGGGGAAGCAGTGGGGAAGGCATCTCGGGGGGGAAGAGTGGGGGAAGGCATCTCTGGGGGGGAAGAGTGGGGGAAGGCATCTCGGGGGAAGAGTGGGGGAAGGCATCTCTGCGGGTGGGGAAGCAGTGGGGGAAGGCATCTCTGGGGGGGAAGCAGTGGGGGAAGGCATCTCTGGGGGGAAGCAGTGGGGGAAGGCATCTCTGGGGGGAGCAGTGGGGGAAGGCATCCTGCGGGGGGAAGCAGTGGGGGAAGGCGTCTCTGGGGGGGAAGCAGTGGGGGAAGGCATCTCTGCAGGGGGGAAGCAGTGGGGGAAGGCATCTCTGGGGGGAAGCAGTGGGGGAAGGCATCTCTGCGGGTGGGGAAGCAGTGGGGGAAGGCATCTCTGCGGGGGGAAGCAGTGGGGGAAGGCATCTCTGCGGGGGGAAGCAGTGGGGGAAGGCATCTCTGCGGGGGGAAGCAGTGGGGGAAGGCATCTCTGCGGGGGGAAGCAGTGGGGGAAGGCATCTCTGCGGGGGAAGCAGTGGGGGAAGGCATCTCTGCGGGGGGAAGCAGTGGGGGAAGGCATCTCTGGGGGGGGAAGCAGTGGGGGAAGGCATCTCTGCGGGGGGGAAGCAGTGGGGGAAGGCATCTCTGCGGGGGGGAAGCAGTGGGGGAAGGCATCTCTGCGGAGGGGAAGCAGTGGGGGAAGGCATCTCTGCGGGGGGGGAAGCAGTGGGGGAAGGCATCTCTGTCCACTGGTGCTAATAATTACTAGTGGTCTGTGTTCGTTCTGTTTCCTCTGATAGTACTGCTGAGTGCATAGCATCTATCATTCACAAGACGGAAACAATACATTCTTTCAGCATTAAATAATGAAACTAATGACCGTATATTCATTAAATGGGGTGCTCGCTTTCCTTTCTTTCCTCCTCAATTCAGCTTCATTTTGACTCCGGGTAAGGACTAAAAGTCACAAAGTTACAAAAATAGTTATTTTGTTTTTGTTTTTAAACTATCCTCTGGGTAGGTAACGTAAATATGGCCACAAATAAGACTCATTTTCTTTCTTTGGTTTTGAATACCGGGACAACAAGAAACTGCTGAGAACGTTGGCAAAATTTGTTCAGTTTTTCCCGCAAAATCTGTGTGATTTTGTTGTGGTTGTGGAAGTTTTAGGTACAATCCATACAATTTAGTCCTGGATTTTCTCACTTGGAGCCCAGTCCTGGAATATGGTGATCTTTCTCCACCTTCATCGACCTTGATGTGAGTTTCCAGTGCTCAGCAGTTTGTGGGATCGGGCCCTTACATTTTAGCCCTGCTTCACCTAATTCTCATATTTTAACACTGGATCCTATTAGAAGATGATACATGGGAGCGGGAGTCCTGATTCCAGCCTCTCACTCGTTCTCCACTAAAGTAAATCTCTTGTTGCCACTTCTGGTTTATGCTGGTAGAAGAAGTAAGATAAGAATGGGCCCAAGGAGAGTGGCTCAAGATATTGGATTGGAGCCACCGAGCAATCATGGTTCCTCTGTTGGGGGATCAAGCATCTGGTGCCATCCTGCCTCTGTCAGCATGAGAGAGGAAATTAGCTGAAGTAGCCAAGAATCTTCATCTCCTTCTCTCTGCCTACCATTGATGCATCTGCATGCTAACCACCATGCAGCTCAGCAGAGGGCACCCCGTAGCATTGGCCAGCTGGGGGAAATGGGGAGGGAAAGCGACACGTGGTCTACTGATGGGGCTGGGCAGGGAGACTGATTGAAGGGGCAGGGGCAGAGCTGAATAGAAATAATTGGTGGCTTCCAAAGGCTTTGTTTTTCCGGAAGAAAAGAGAGGGAGATGAGAGGAGCAGAGCAGGAGCTATGGTGAGTGGCTGTTAGGCCCACACCTGACCCAGTGGCATGCGCTGGGTGGTTGGGGGCGAGGCACTGTCCTACCTGCTCTGTTCTGGGTGACGTTCTTTTCCCCATGGCCGGCTAGGCCAGGGGGCGACGCGGCTGAGGTGGTAAATCCCAACCGCTGCTTCTCGGCCACGTTTTATAGACCCCCCCACCCCCACCCCTCCAAAGCGCCAGGAGCCCAACGCTCTGGCACGGGCTGTGCTGTACGTGTCGTTCAGTGGACAGGACACGGGACGAGGACTCAGGAGACCTGGCCTCTGTTTGTGAGACAAACCAGAGCTACTCGCTCAGGTGCTGCGACGAGTCAGCCCTCAGGCAGGCAGCAGCTACCTATCCCCGAGCAGAGCCTGGGTCAGATGACCCCTGGCCCAGGTATTTCCACAGCCCTGGCAGAGCTGCAGATCAGTCTGAGCAACAGCATTACTTGCCCAGGAACCGTCCTGCTGCTGCCTCGCTCCAGAGACTTGCAGCCTGCTCCTGCCCCAGCCTTGCCTGAGCCCTGCCCTGGCCCCGCACTAACCTCATTCCAGCCTCGCCACTGACCTGCTCCTGCCTGGCCTCCGCCTCCTGATTCACCCGACACCCTCGGACTCTCCCGGACTCTCCCTGGCTTTTGACATTTGACGCGTATCTGGACCCTGGCTTCGGTCCCAATTTGGCCTGTCCCTGGATCTTGATTCCAGGTCCACCCTTGGTTCAGGCCCAACCCTACACCTCACTGTGACCCATGCTCCAACCACTAGGCCTGATTGTCAGAGGCAGTGCCTGACACTGTCCCCAGCTCAGCCACTACTGCCTGTGGGTCTGGGAGCAAGATACTTCACCTACCTGTTCCCCCTCCCTCCCTGTGTCTTGTCTATTTAGATTGCAAACTTTTTGGGGGTAGGGACTGCCTCCGGCTATGTAAAGCAGCCAACACAGTGGGGTCCCAAGCTCCACGGGGGCTTCCAGTTGCTACTATGATGCCACCAATAAATATAATAATAGGAATTAGGTTGGTATAAAAGCTTAGATAGATGATGTGTTCTCCTTAACGTGTGCATGAAGGAAGGGTGACCTCAGATAATCAAGGTCAAGGTTGCTGGCACAATAACCAATGCACTGAACTGACTTTTATCATACTAATGTAGGCTGCCGGGTGTAGGTGGCTGACCTAGTGGATGGAGCAGGGCCCTGCCCGGTGGGTGTGGCGGCAGTGTGGAGGAATGGTGAAGGTAGATCCAGGAGTCAGGTCCCGGCCTGAGGATGAAGCCAGAGTCTGGGCCGAGGAGCCAAGCCAAAAGATCAGAACCAGAGTCAGGATTGGGAACCCCAAGCTGAAGTCAGGTGAGGAGCCATGCCAAAGGTCAGAGCCTGAGTCAGAATGAGAGCAGGAAAGGAAGGACTAGACTGAAGTGGGCCAGGGGCAAGGCAGGAACAGGGCTGGAGCAGGAAGTGGAAGCAAAATCAGGGCACGGCATGGTACACGTTGAGGAGCCACCGTGCTGCTGAAGCTGCCAGACTCAAGTAGCAGGCTACTGGCTCCTGTGCCCAGTTAGGAAGCAGGACCATTTGAAGAAGGCTCAGTGGGACCAGATGAGCTTGCTGGGTTGCCTAGCACCCAGGCTCAGAGCCAGCTGAGCTCATGACAATTAGTTTCCAACCTGTTCAATGCAGCTGCAATTTGATTCTAATGTTTAGTTGCTATGAAATGGTCACAGAATCATAGAATATCAGGGTTGGAAGGGACCTCAGGAGTGCAACCCCCTGTGCAATCCTCAAAGCAGGATCAATTCCCAACAAAATCATCCCAGCCAGGGCTTTGTCAAGCCTGACCTTAAAAATACCTAAGGAGGGAGATTCCGCCACCTCCCTGGGTAACCCATTCCAGTGCTTCACCACCCTCCTAGTGAAAAGTTTTTCCTAATATCCAACCTAAACCTCCCACACTGCAACCTGAGACCATTGCTTCTTGTTCTGTTATCTGGTACCACTGAGAGCAGTCTAGATGCATCCTCTTTGGAACCCCCCTTTAGGTAGTTGAATGCAGCTATCAAATCCCCCCTCTTCTCTTCTGCAGACTAAATAATCCCAGTTCCCTCAGCCTCTCCTCGTAAGTCATGTGCTCCAGCCCCCTAATAATTTTTGTTGCCCTCTGCTGGACTCTTTCCCATTTTTCCACATCCTTCTTGTAGTGTGGGGCCCAAAACTGGACACAGTACTCCAGATGAGGCCTCACCAATGTCGAATATAGGGGAATGATCACGTCCCTGGATCTGGCAATGCTCCTACTTATATCTCTCATCTCTGTCTGTCACACGCACACACACACACTCATAAACACACTGTGTGTCTTTCACATTTTTTATTGTAAAATACAACACTGGTCAAGTAACATAAGAGTCCTTAGACGTTCACTTCAACAAAGATTTGTGTCTACTAGAAGTATAATTGTGTTTCTACCAAAAATTGTTATCGGCGCCTAAAAAATGCACATTTCATTGGTAGGATGCTTCCACTGATTCAAAAGCTGCTGAGATCTTGATTTTTACTGATCTATTTTGCAAACTGTGATTTAAGAGAAAATAAGGAAAGGACATTACAAATTTCCGTGACATCGTAAATATAAAACAACCCCATGAAAAATGAAATTTGATGCAACAAAGCCTTTCAAAGTTCTGTGTGTGATCATTGCAGTCTGTGACTTGTTGGTTCTATTATTGTGAAGAACAGGGTGATGCAGACTCCAGGTAGTTAATCAAACTGAACAGAAATAAAACTACCGGGACTATAGGGACAAGTCAACTGCTTCTGCAGCTGCTACCACAAATATAGAGGATTTCTCCCACGTTGTAGCCCTCACCTCCTTGGAGCAGGCATCAAAGTACTGCTCTTAAGCAAATAGATATATCAACTTGTTATAGATCTTTACCTTTACTTTTTACGCATTGATGCAAAGGAAAGATAGAAAGAATAGTAAAAAGCCAATATGGCTCCATCAGGAGGTCTTTAATGACCGGAACATCAAAAAGGAATCCTACAACAAGCGGAAACATGGATGAATTGCTAAGGAGGAGTACAAAAGAATAGCACAAGCAGGTAAGGACAAAATCAGAAAAGCTATGATACAAAATGAGTTACACCTAGCAAGGGACATAAAAGACAATAAGAAGAGGTTCTTTAATTACATTAGAAGGAAGAGAAAGATGAAGGACCTCTACTTAGTGGGAAGGAGAGCTAATAACTGACGACATCAAGAAGGCATTTTTCCCCTTCTGCCTCTGTAACAGTTGTTCAAAGGAAGCAGAAACTGAGCATCTGAATGCAAAGATTAAATGAGGCCCAGGAAATAAAACTCAAAAGGCAGGTGTGGAGGTCAGTCTGAGGGTGTGTGTCTGTCCTGAGACATCTGTCACCATGGTCTGGTCTGGTCTGATTGCATCTGTTCTTCAGTGCTCACTCCTTTTAGCCCTACCTTTCTCGTGCGCTGTTTGCTGTTCCAGCATGCAAAATCCCCCTACCCACTCCAACACTTACTCTTTTCTTTCTATGGTGAGTTCCGCTCAAAAGAACGGCCAAGACTTCTCACTTGGCTTAACGCTACATGCTTCAGACCAGCTCCAAATGCCTACAGCACAGACCTCCTGCTTCCCTTGCTGCTGACAACTGACCCCTGTGTGGTAAGGCTGGCTACGGGGTGTGGGGAGGAGCTGAGTTTGAGATTCCCTTGCATGGGTGACACTTGTGCCATTCTGGCTTGCTCCATTCTTTTGGGATCGGCCTCCAGCCTTCCCCATTCAGAAGCGTGGTTGAGATGATGAAGGGCCTTGTTGGATGGAGGGAGAAAATGGGGAAGGGGAGGATGTGAATTCCTGAAAAACAGAGGATTCTACCCTGAAGGGAAAATGTGGTTACTGTTCCTTTCCTGACCAGGAAGAGGGAAACAAATCTGTTCCGAGAGATAGAATGAGTCCAGTGCTCAGGCCACCACAGCTCCTTGCGTTCTCCAGATCTGGGTTCTAAGTAGTGCTTTAGCCTTTAAGCTCCTGTAAGGGTCCATTCTAATCCTTTCCCTTCCCCTTTCCCTGCTGGGTGAAGTAAAATGGCAACAAATCACAGATATAATGTTTCTCTGGCTTAACCAATAAAATCCCTCCCCACCCCATTCACATCAATAAATGCGAACTTAGAAAAACCCAGGAACAACGTAAATCATCACGTCATTTACATCTTTGTTAACCGTAAAACATTCATGCGCACGGGAAGGAAGGTGGCACCTGAGGCATACTGGATCTCTCTGAGGACGCCTTCCCACTTCTTCCCTTCTTCGTCATACCTGAAGGGAGGGAGACAAAATATTATGGTCAGCAAAGAACTCTATTCTCAACTGTGTTCCCCATCCCAGCTTTGGTTACGACAAATAGTCAGATTCAGTGTTGTTCTAGTGATGTGTTTACTTGTAGTATGTTATTCAGCCACTAGATGTCTCTGTGTGTAGAGTTCCAGACAGAGTGCGGTGTCTGGTAAACAAGAGAGACAGAAGTGGAACTCAAGCAGTGTGGAAACCTGTTTGATTGTGTCAGTAGATGTAGTTTGTTTTCTTTAATACATGCCTCTGGTTTAAGGACTGTGATTCCATATATCATGACAGCTACCAAGATTGGCAGGAAGGACTTGTTTGGTCAGTATCTGTCATTTGAATATCGACTTAGGCCTTATCTAAAGTCCATTGAAGTCAACAGACTTTGAATTTGGCTCTTAAAGCTGATGAAAAATGACAGACTGACAGTTCTGGAGGCTTGAGTCCCCTCCACAGAACTGCTACAGTACAGGCATCAACTAGCAAATTTCCTTATGGTACCCTGCCAGTATACCTGCCCCCCTGTCCCTGATGGGGCACATTTAGTGGGGAGGGATAGGTCACTTCCTACGGACTGAATGGCAGTGGTCTCTCTGCTGAGACTGCTGACGAGGGTGCCAGTTAGAGCGGTCTTGGGGAAGTAGGTATTTTTCCACTGGGGACTGGACTGAGGCCCCCAAGACTCAAACAACCCCCATCACTTGGTAAATACGCACCTAGCTTTGCTATGATCCCATGCCAGAAAAGTGACAGAGCCAGATCCTCAGCTGGTATAAAATGCCGTAGCTCACATGAAGTCAGTGGAGCTCAGGGAATTGACACAGCTGAGGCTCTCATCCCATAGATCCCTCTCCTCCCAAGTTTGTTAGGTCTTGACAATCAACCTGCTTTGGAAGCGGTCTCGCATTTCGTCTTGGTTCAAAGCAGATTTGGTCAGCATTGCACTTAGAACACTGAGTTGCCTTTTGGCACCAAGATTAAGCACATACCAGTGGGACTCAACCCCAGAGTTAGCAATAGCGGGAAACTTTGTGCAAAATTTCTCTAGTGCAGACAAGGCCTTGGTTAAAGGGTGATTTAATTTCCAGTTTCATAGACTTTGAGGTCAGAAGAGACCTTTATGATCAACTAGTCTGACCCCCTGTATAACACAGGCCATATACTTTCACCCAGTTACCCCAGTTTTGAGCCCAATAACCTGTGTTTGGCTAAAGCGTATCTTCCAGAAACGCACCCAGGCTTCATATGAAGACATCAAGAGATGGAGAACCACCACTTCCCTTGCTAGTTTGTTCCAGTGGTTAATCACCCTCACTGTTCAAAAACAAAAATGGTGCCTTATTTCTGGTTTGAATTTGTCTGGCTTTAACTTCCAGCCATTGGCCCTTATTCTGTCTTTCTCTGCTCAATTAAAGAGCCCTTCAGGACCTGGTATTTTCTCCCCATGAAGGTGATACCCTGTGCTTGTCATTTCCCAGTTTTCTTTTCTATAAGCTAAACCAGCTGAGCTCCTTAAATCTCTCACCGTGAGGCATCCTCAGCAGCCTCTGAATCGTTTTTGTGGCCCTCATTTCTGTACCCTCTTTCATTTTTTAAATCTTTTTAAAATCGCTGGGGAGAAGTGAGTATTGCTTAAAGGCAAGAGAATAATGGATTTTAAACCGTCACTGGTTAAAACCCCAGAAGAACTCAGCCCCCAGCCATGCCCTTTGCTCGCAATGGCTACGTCCCTTACCTCCAGATGTCATTGAGCTCGGTTGGCACCAGTTCTCCTGACTCCGTCTCCACTGTGGCAAATCCACCAAGTAAATACAGACTGCCAGCCAGACTCACCAGGCTGACAGAGCTGCGCTCCTGGGGGAATTCAGTGAAGGGCTCCCACCTGCCGGGCAGAAAGGTTAGACTCGTTAGCAAGATGTTCTAGCCACCCTCTATCAGTGCAGCTACATCAGCATCGATGTGGGCCTGGAATCTGGTGAGTTCGGAGCGCTAATCCCAGTAGTGTGACTCGCCGGCTTGTGTGGCCCTCAGACAAGCTCCTAGGTCCAGTTTTTTCAAAAGCAGCCTCCAGTTTTGGGTGCCCTATTTCAGACATCCACAGCCTGATTTTCAGGAGTGCTGAGCCCCCACAACTCCCCTCGGTAGATGCAGAAGACCCTGGAAACACCAGAAACAATCTGTCCTATTCTGATCTGTATAGGTTCTTATATGCCCTAGTAAGGAGTGCAGCATGAGTGCCTGCCTGTCATGCTTTACACAACGTGACTGGTGGGCTTCTGCTGAGTGTGTGTAGGCGGGGAGAGGGGAGAGTTTGCACCTCCTTGCATACTACAGAGCACCAAACTCACCAGGGGCTTTTGGGGTAGGGCAATGGAGTGGATCTAAGACTACACAAAACCATGGAGGGGCAGCGTGGTCAGTGTGAGGGCTACTACATCCCTGGGGAGGATTCCTCCCCTTCCGAGTTCCTAGAGCTATATGGCCTGTGCACGGAGCGCTCTCTGAGGGTTGATCTCCCCTCCCAGCTGAGTTTCGTTCAGACCCTCGCCAGGCTGAGAAGTGAGAGTTGCCCCTGGAAATTGCAATATATCCTGATATCCAGACAGGAAGGCGACCCCATCCCAATGCTTGGGGATGCAACGGCTCAGGCCTTCCGCCTCCATCCTGGTTGAGTGACCCCACTCTCCAGGCTCTCTGGGCATTCAAGCTATTGATATCGCCCCAAGCCTCTGGAGCTAGACAAATGCCCCTGGCCCAGCACTGGCAATTGGCAGTAACTAACATCAGATGAAGAGGTGCATCAGTTGCACAGGGAACTGAATGGATGGAGCCAAGACAGCTTCAAATCATTGGCTGATTGGGGGCAGGTTGTTTCCTACATTCCTGCAACTGCTCCCTAGAGCATTTTCATCCCAAGGATGAGCCGTGGTACGTACTTGTTAGCTGCAATGTCATATGCTTCCACCGAGTCAGTCAAGCCAGAGTCGGTCACGCCAGTTGCCACATAGATCTTGCCATTGTGTACGGTTGCTCCAAACAGAGAACGGGCAGTTTTCATGGGAGCCAGCTCCTTCCACTCAAACTTCTTCGGGTTGTAGACGCACATCTTGTTCAGGCACTTCCTGCGAAAGGGCAAGAGGGAAAAGCAACCTCACTGAATTATTATATGGAATGGTTCCATTGGGCCGAGGGATGGGAATTCTGGAGTATCGATCTAAGTCGGCAGCTGGTTGTAACTTTCAGACTCTGCTGCTACACTTGAAATTGGGATCGGTGCGTTTTACTGTTGAGCCCAGTTCAATAGATGCCTTTCCTTTGTACAACATGCACCTTTCTTGTGTACACGCTATTGACCACGAGCACCCTGGTGTTGTGTATGTAACATTTCACTCCATATTCTTCATGAAAATATGCTCATGGTCTGGATATGACATAACTGAGATGTACTTTATGCAAGATGGGTCTTGTAAGATATCATTGGAAAGGTTATGATTTACTGAATGCAATTATCCAGTTTACATGCCTGTATCATTTCTGTATCTGAAGTTAGGAATATTGACTATGTATCTGTATTTCAGCTATGCTGCTGTTGGTAATGCCCACCACTAACACTTCAGGTACAACAATGGAAAAGCCAGACAGGGCTGATGGCCCATCAGAGAGGACAATGAATTGTGAAAAGGCTTGGCCTTCCAGCGGACCTTCCACACAGCCACTGACTCATGGACGCTGTGATTCTACAGAGTCAGGTGGTCTTGTCACCTGATACTAAACATTACCTTGGACTTCTTGTAACTTTCCACTGGAAGGGAAGGGGGGTCATCTTTGGGAAACAAAAGATTCCCGCCTTATGTAAATCCTATTTAAACGGGGGGAGGAAGGCAAATGGGACTCCTCCTCTCCAGACCTGTCTGCCCAGGAAGAAAGACTGAAAAAGACACCTGAAGGGAAGACAAGGAGGAGTCCAGACTGAGCCAGGGGTGACTGAGCCAGTCTGAAAAGGAATGTAACTGGAACTCTGAAACACAGAAACTTTGCAATCTGCCTAAAATAACATTTAGGGTAAGAAATTACATTTTGTAACCTGTTTCTTAAGTATATTGAGCTTAGCTTGAATACTTTGGTTTATTTGCTCAGTAATCTGCTTTGTTCTGTCTGTTATCTCTTCTATTCACTTAAAATTCACCTTTTGTAGTTAATAAACTTATTTCTTGTTCATAACTCAGTTTATGTAATTTCTAACTGGGGGTGGGGGGGAGAAGTTGTGCATATCTCCCTCCACATTGAGGGAAGGGGCAAATTTCATAAAACCTTTGGGTTTGTACCCCTTAAAGGGAGTGGGCACCAGAGTGCTGGGGCGAGCACCCTGAATCATCCCACAATGGATCTCTGTCTCTCTGTACAGCTGGGCATGGCCCTGCCTGTGTGCTTGGCTGGAAGAGGCATGTGAGCCTAGCCCAGCAAGGCCAGGTAAAGGGGACCCAGGCTGGCAGAATAGGGTGGCTTAGTGGCATCCCAGCACATCAGGTAACACCCCAAAGGGTCCAAACCCATCAGAGTGTACACTCATTACTAGCTATGTGTCTGTCTAGCTATATGCAAATCAGGGATCGGTATGCATGCACCCAGCAGCAGGCCTTATTTGTTAAGTACTGATGATGAAATTTGATACTGTACCAGAAATTAATAAAAAGAGTTCCTGCCCCAAAGAGCTTACAATCTAGGAGGTATATGGCTGTGTATATACCCTCTTTCCAGACTGTAATCTCTTTGGTGCAGGGCCTATCTTTGCTGTGGTAGGCCAGGCTTATTTTGTCAATATTTATTTTTGCTGTTTTACAATGGCTGGAATTTTCATTTAAGGCAGGTTATGCTGAGGCCTTGCTCCCTGCAGATAATAAATGGCAACTGGGAGTGAGGGACTGTTTTGTGAAGTTGTTTTCTACCGCTGCGGCTGCGACAGCTGGATCTTGCTATGCCACACCAGCCTTCTCCCAGGCTGGGCTCATTGGTTTGATGACAGGCAGCTTCCCTGCTAAGGGATTCTCATGTCTCTTCTGTCCTCTCCTGCTATTTGTTATGCTTGTTAACATGGGGAAGGAGGAGGATATCCTTTCTCCATTGTGGCCTTATATTGTCCTTTTTCGTTGTGCAGATCACCCATTGATCTCAATGGAGTTAGACAGGTGGTCCAAGGGCCCTGAGAGAAACTTTAGCAACAGAGTCAAGGCTGGACTCAGACCAGAAGCCTGGAAGTGAAGGGTTCCATGTCTTAGGCCCCCCCACAGTCCCATTTGATTCGTCTGTTCCCCTCCACTCCTTAATCTGCTGGTTACCCTAGAATGCTACTTATGTACCCAACAGAGCTCCTTCCACAACTTCCTTCTTGTAGTCATGACCTAGGGTATGAAAGCAGCCAAACCCACGTGCCATCAGAGGTGTTTTGTCCCTCCCACTCCTTTTATATCCCTTGCTCTTTCACTTACTTGTCACTTCTTTTGCCTCCGATGACATAGATTAGATCCTTGTCTGATACCACAGCATGGCCATAGACTGCGTAGGGGAGCGGATCTGACTCGCCCCATTTAAATGACCTGTATAAGGATTATGAAAAGCAAGGGTATTATATTGTTTAGATGGGGGTAGCATCCAGAAGACACGAGGGGCTTTCCAACCCCGTAGGTGGATGGATGCAGTTCCTGCCCAAAGTGCATGGAGTCTAAAAACTCATTAACAAAAGTCATAGTCAACCACTAAGAAAAAGAAACGCCATACGGGATACTTGCTATAATACGCATTCTTTTCTGTAGCATCCTCTCGGCAGCTTAGCTTGTTATATTTGGCTTCATATTTATACAGCACCTTCTATCCCAGGATCTCAAACACTTTGCAAACATTCATTGATTGATACCTCTGTAAGGTAGCTAGTCCTGCATTATCCTTGTTTTACAGAGGGGGAGGCGCTGATGTACAGAGAGGTTAAGGGTCACATTTTCAGAAGTTACCGCTAATTTGGGGGTAGCTCAGTTTTCAGGTGCCCTACATGTGACGCTCAGTTGGGGTTTTGGGTGTTCGGCACCTCTTAAAATCAGGCTCTCGTTTTCTAACGTTGGGCACCCACATATGGAGTCACCTAAAATTCAAGCCCGCATCTGAAAATCTGGACCTAAGTATCTCGCCTGCGTTCCCAAAGCAGGTCACAGTCAGAGCCCTCACTAGAATGGAGATCTCTTGACTCCATCTTGTTCTGTAGCCACTCGACCATTCTGTACGAACACTGCACACACGACTCCACCATGCTGTACAAACAATCCCTCACACACAAGGACAAATTTCTCTTTCTACAGACTGAAGACCAGAGAAAGGCACTTCCATAGAAACCAAAAAGTTCTGGATTGAATTGGCCTTAGATCTACCAAGTCTAACCCCCTAATTCAAGCAGGAATAATCCATTCATCAAAAGATAAGACTGTTTGCTGAAATTTCAGCTGTCAATAAAGTGGGGCCGTGTATGATTATTGTGCTGGTCACTTTGAAACCCAGTTGCATAGAAGACGGTCTGAAAGCTCTCCCTGGTTATAATCTTTTTCAGCTACATGCACTTCAGGCCACTTAGCAAAGAGAGCCCCCGCCCCCAAGAGAGTTTTAGGGCACAGATAAACACCATGGTTGATAGGAATGGGAACTGGTTTGAAATCTCTGCCTATGAAACAGACATGCCTAAATAAAACAGCTCAGACATGTCTAAATATAAATTGAGTAAAAGACTCCAGCTCACTAGCTATTCTAGCTTATTGCAGGCCGACAGGGAGATTGTTTGGCATTTCTGTTTGCCTTTCAGTGAGATTTAATACTTCAGGCAGTTCATAGTGCAGTATACAAAGCATATGCTAAGATTAGTCTTAACCACTGTGGGGAAGCCGGGCAGCTCCTGTAATTCCAGATTAGTGGGAAAAGACAGTTTGATGCTTTTTTCCAATGAGAAGAACTTACAGTGCATGGGACATGTGGCTTTCTGCAGAGTAGATTAAAGCTAGGTGTTGGGAATAGATATGTTATGATTCACAGATTCATAGATGATAAAGCCCAAAGGGACCATTGTAATCATCTGGTCTGATCTCTTGTATAATACAGGCCATAGAACTTCCCCCAAATAATTCTGGTTTGACCTAGACCATATCTTTTATGTGCTATCCTTGTCTTGGATGGAAGTGGATGAACCTCCATCTTTCCAGATCACTCATTGCTTCTTGCTTTTTAACAGCTGAGTCCATAATGGGTTGCACTGGATGACTGGATAATGGAAAATATAAGAGCCGGAGGGGTGGGTGTACGCTTAATTTTTCAAACTGTGCATCATGGCTCTCAACCTAACTGGAATGCAAATACCTCGAAACAGAGAAAGGGAAATACTTTCCACAATGTATTATTAACCCTGGGAATTCCCTGCTGCATGATATTAATGAGGCAACTAGCTTTACAGGGAAATGACTGGTATGACACCACCTTCTCTGCTCCCACAGATGAAGGAGAATTTGGTAGGGTGCACTCTCCCTTTCTGGTCTCATTGCCAGAGGGGAGGGAAATCAGGCTGGTCCTTTTGGTGCCAGATCAGCCCTAAGCAGTCACTTGCATCGCTTATTCTTGTCCACAGCTACGCTCGCTGGGACTGAGATGGCAAGGGCAATTGATGTTCATGCTTCTGAGCATATGATGTTCAACAGCTGGGTGGCAAAGGATAGCACCCTATGGGGTGTATTGGGGTCAGGGGCTGCAATCCTCCAGGAAAAGGGTCATTTCAAGTTTGGTTGTAAATAGAGGCCAACAGATTCTCCATGAGCCTGATCCTCTGAGTATCCTCCACAAAACCTTGAAGGATCTGGACCCTTGAGAGGTCTGGGTTTGAGAGATTCTGAATCCCTTTATCGGCATCATTCTAAAAAGCGGTTGTGACCAGAGTCCAGTTTTGTTGCCCGTGACCATCTACCAGGGGCATGTTTGCTGATGGCTGCCCTCTTAGGGCTGTTACACACCCATGAGACTGCCCCGGTGCCCAAAACATTAAGGGCCATATCCTGCCTTCTGAGATCTCTGGGCAGTTCCTGTGTGAATACAGCCAAAGGCACAGTCTGGCCCTTGATAAAATTAGTGTTGATTGGCTGCCCCTTAACGGCCTCAATCCCCTTTCCCTTGGAGGTTTCAATTGCAATAAACCCAACAGATGGTACCGGAGATGGATCAGAGCCGCAAGGGAGGGATTTGGATTTGGGACAATTCCACTTGCTGGGGTGACTGGATCTAGCATTCAGAGACTGTCCCTAGATGTTACGTCAATTTTTAGGTCCCTGTACAGATGGATTCATTCTCACACCCCAGCCTAGCTGCTTCGCTTCTCAGGCACTTACAATCGGTCGTAGCACATAACGGAGTCCAAGGTCTGTTCTCCTTCTTTCAGTTCTTTCCCTCCTACCACGAAAATGGAGTTTTCTGCGTCTCCCAGGCCAAAGAGGCAGCGGGGGGAAGGCAGAGGGGGCATGCCCAGCCAGTCAGAGTCCAGGTGATCATACTGCAAGGAAACGAATAGCCATGAGGGTACAGTATGCACTGATTTAGTTGGTGTTGGTCTTGCTTTGAGCGGGGGGTTGGACTAGATGACCTCCTGAGGTCTCTTCCAACCCTGATATTCTATGATTCTATGCACCAGTCCCTCTCTGACGTATAAATGGATTTGCTTACTCTGTCAATTTGTTAAATTAAAATAAAATATCAGGGGCCAAGCGTGCAGTGACAAAGCACTGAGCCCATTCCTACAGGTACCAAAGGGCACGCCCAGTTCTGCAGCCTCCTGCTAAGCAGCCCCAGGGTGGAGATTCTCTGCGGGTCCTTTCCTTGCTTGTTTCCATGTGCTCCAGTTGTATCCACCTGCTGGCTCTTGTCTTATACTTAGCTTGCAAGGTCTTTGGGCAGGGACTGTCTTTTTGTTCCGGGCTCATACAGTGCCTTGCACAGTGGGGTCCTGCTCCATGATGGGGGCTCCTACACGTATGGTGATAAACAGGACCCAAGTGCCCTGTAGAAATGGCCTCTTCTCTTTTCACGGAAGGCTACTCGACGATGACTTTGCACGTTTCTATACAGCTCAGTCTCCTTGGGCTGAGCTGGTCTCAAATTTTTCGGTTACTGAGCAATCATTGTGCCAGGAGGAGCTCTGATACCATAACCACCTCAGCTTTAGCTCCGTCTCCCAGCCTTCAAAAGAGATTTCATCAGAATAGTTTTTGGCAATGGGAGTTAACTGTGCATTTTCCATAATGCAGCCCACTCCCCCGAGTAACGTAAGAATAAAATGATGGTTCTGTGCTTTTCCCACCCCAGCACTGCTCACCAGGGCTGCAAAATCAAACAGGGCTTAGCCTGCTGCCAGCTCACAAGACAAGTTGCTGTTAGAGAGGGACAAACCAGCTTTGAAATAAAAACCTCCCTGATAGATGTCAAGGCCAGCAGAGACCATTATGATCATCTAGTCCAACCTCCTCATAACACAGGCCAAAGATCCTCACCCAGTCGTCACCACATTAGCCCTATTTGGAAATTCCAAACTTTTTGCAACACATCTATCTATCTATCTATCTCCATACACTCTCTCTCTCTATCTCTCTAATTTGTCTGTCTCAGAGTTTTCTATAGTACCATCACATGAGTATCTAAATATTTTCATGGCCTACATATTACTATGTAACAAGTCATTGACTTAATGCGTAACAGCGAGCCATATTCAATCAGTCTCTACAATGTCTGACAGAGCAATAAAATGCTTGTGGCATGCATTTGTATAAGGGACACACAAGCCAAATACAACTAACACACATGACGGTGAGTTGCATTGGCTTTGTGCTATGCAGAACCTAAAAATCAGCGATCCTTCTAGTGGACCATAGAAGCAAAAGAGTAATGAAGCCGGTACCTGTAAGAAGTAGGAGCTCATGGGGTCCTCTTTGTTGTCCTCATTGTAGTACAGTCCACCTGCTATGAAGATCTGGTTCTCTTTGGTTACCAGACTGACATGATTCTTTGGGATCTGAGCCGAGATGGAGGCAAAATAGCACTCGTTGGCGCTGGGATCATAGGCCACCGCCCCAGCACTGCTCACCATGAAAATGAGGTCCTGGAGGAACATCCCAAAGCGCATTGTGTCATTTAAGATCCCTGGGAGGACATCCTCCTCATTATCATCCCCCTCGGCCACTTCTCCATTGACAGCGTTGTCCCCAGCTGTTTTCTCACTGCTCTTCTTCACCTTCTTCTTTTTCACCACCATGAATTTGCCTTCGCTGGCGTCCTTCACCACCTGGAGTTTCTTGAGCAGCTCCGGGATGGACTTCACAATGGGGTGCTTCTCCACGTGGTCCCTGATGTAGTCCTGGGGCAGGAGGCGGAAACGGATGCTCTCGAAGACCACCGGCAAGGCCTGGATCCGGCTCTCGCGGTCCTTGGCTTCCACCCACTTCATCACCGTCTCAAAAACCGCCTCCTCCTTCTCAGTGTTAAGGGAGTCAGTGGATATGACAGCAATGAGCTCATCAGGGGAGAGTTTGTAGAACTCCTCATCCCGGGAGACCAGGGCAAAGCGGTCGCAGATGAAATCCCGGGCGGACACTGCCAGGCGGGCACAATCCAGCATCAAGCCTAGCCTGAAGATCGCCAAGCAGTTGCTGAGGCAGAGACGCTTCTGCAGGAAGGAGACACAGACTGTGAAGATGGAGGGGATCTGGAACATGTTGGCCACGGAGAAAATGTCCTGCACGTTCTGCTCGGTGAGCTCCAGCTCGGAGGTGTAGATGTAATGGAGGATCTTGCGCATGACTTCGGGGTCCACGTCCTCCAGGTCGATCTCCCTCTTCTTACTCTCTTCCATGTCTGAAAGGAACATCGCCCGGAAATAGGGGCTGCAGGCTGCCAGCACCAGCCGGTGGCAGGGGAATTCTTTCCCCTTGACTTTCAAGACACAATCCAGGAACTTGTTGTGGTCCAGCATGTCTTTGAGCCCATCCTGGAGGAGCGTCTGCTGGTAGAGACGCAGCTCTTCTGCTTGATCTATTGGCAGTGTCATGCTTGAAAGTAATAGCTTGTTTGCTCTTCTCCTTTTTTTCCCCCCCTATCTCCCAGCCGAGAGACTTCCCCGAAGCAGTGCAGCTCTCCCTTGCTTCCTGACAGCTGGAGCCCTAAGAATGTGAAGCACTTGCTGCTAATACAACTGGCTGTCTGCTGCGGCCTCAGCGAGGGGCTTTATATATAACCGCAGCCTCACAAAGCTTAAGGCCCCCATATTGGAGCATGTGTAAGCCGATCACCCTCTCATAGGACACATTGGACAACCGGGAAGGGAGGGGGCTGGAGGAACAGCTGTACGTGCAGCCTGGACCCATCGGGAATGGTCTGTCCGCTCATGAATCAGTGCTGGGCTTTTCCGGAAGGCCAGCGTGTGACTGGCAGCCTTCCTCATAGCGCAGGTGAAAAAGCTTTTCCTTCAGATGAATCAGAAAGGAAAAAAAACCAGCCCCCAAGCCGGTGAACTGTAGGGTTTGTTATCCCTCTTCCCCCTCCCTCTCTTCAACCTCGAGTGCAGGACTCACCTGGCTAAAAATACACTATGACGCTAAATCTGGAGATATGCAATGAGGTGTCGTATCGTGCTGTCATTGTGATGCAGCTAAGGCTGTCCCGGTCATTTGGACAGTTGATTTTCTGGGGGGCAGAGGGGGGGGGGTGGGTTGGGGGGGGGTTGTTTTTTATGGTTTTAGTGGAAGAGGGGGGGGAGGGGTTTAGGGGGGGGGGGGGGGGGTGTTGGGTGTTTTTATATTTTTTTTTTGGGGGGGGTGAAATTGGTTTGGGGGGGGGATTCCTTAGAGGTTTGGAAGGGAAGGGAGACATTCCAGTGACCTGCTCCAGGGTAACTGTTGGTGGGGGGAGGAGTGTTTTACATACTCAGCTGTGTGTCATAGCCCTCTACTGGAAGCAGCTAAAGGAGGTTCTCCCACAGAACATGTGGTAGGGTCCCTGTGGTTTTGGAGGATGCGGCTCTGGGGTCTGTTCTGTCTGTGGTATTTTTATGGAACCCCGTCACTGTTGTGTCAGAACAGGCCCCACGGTTTTAATGTATTTTTCCTCCCATCCTCTCTGGGAGGCAGGGCAGTGCTACTATCCCCATTGTACGGAGGGGGAACTGAGGCACAGAGAGCTTAAGTGACTTGTCCAAGGTCACACAGAGTCTGGTGGAGCCGGGACGCAAGACTGGCGCCCTACTCACCGGGCTGTCCTCCCTCTCTGTTGCCCACTATTCCCTGCTATCTAGAGCCAGCTGGAAAAAATTCACAAATTTTCAATGGGAAAAAAGGGCCGCACGTTTCATAATAACTTCTGAGGAAGATGATCCAGCCTGGGGGCCAGCTCTGCTGCTGTCTCTGTGGCGTTCCCAACGGCCAGGGTATGTAGCATCACGACCCCTGCGGCGCTCCGAGGTGGCTTCCAAGATATAGTGACCATAATAAAGCAAAATTGTGACAGCTCAAAAAGCTCATGGGAGCATTTTACAATGGATGAACCAGGCAGGGGAACCGTTATAAATACCAAAAAGAAAAGGAGGACTTGTGGCACCTTAGAGACTAACCAATTTATTTGAGCATGAGCTTTCGTGAGCTACAGTCACTTCATCGGATGCAACTCTGAAACCTGTTATAAATACCGTTATGTTATCACTATATAGTGATAGTTTTTACTTTCAGACATCAATTTGAACTGCAACGTTTCCGTTACAAAGGTCAATCCCTGCCCCCTAACCTGCACCTCTTTCCCTCCCCCCTCCCAACTATTATGACCGGTGCGCCTACCTTGTACAGTTAACCCAGGCTTTTATCCAGATTTTAGCCCGAACCCCTCTCCCATCCGCACAGAAAATCCTTTGACCCGGGTCTGGAGGTGCTTGGCACCTGAGCTAGCTTACCCAGCAGGGGGTGGGGCTGGAACCTGAGCTCCGCTTCACCTCAGCCTGCCTCCGCACTGCAAAATGGGCAGTCCCAGCCTAAGTCCCTCGGATACTGATGGTGCTTTAGTGCCTTCCCACAATTCCCCCAAAGGACAGACAAGTTTGCTGGCAATGAACACAAGAATCCTGGCTCCAGAGGGGTAGCCGGGTTAGTCTGGATCTGTGAAAGCGGCAAAGAGTCCCGTGGCACCTTCTAGACTCACAGACGTATTGGAGCATGAGCTTTCGTGGGTTTTCGTGGCATCCGGCGAAGTGGGGGTTCACCCACGAAAGCTCATGCTCCAGTATGTCTGTGAGTCTAGAAGGTGCCACAGGACCCTTTGCCGCTTTTACAAGAATCCTAGAGCGTCTCTGCACAACCACCCTTGGGATAGGCCCCCAGACACCAGTGAGAGCAGAAGCAGTGAGGACTCAGTAATTTGGGCAGGGCTTGGCCATGGGGCTGCTCACGCCTGGACTAAGCTAACCTCTGTGCTCAGACCTGGGTGCTAATAACCTGGGTTAACTGTGCAGTGTAGACCTAGCCTGAAAGACACAAAGGCCCTGTCTGAACTGGGGACATTTGTATCAATATACGTAGATGTGAACCCCAAGTGCAGATGTGCTGCGTTAGTGTAATCTAGAGTTTGCAACGGTGTGGTCTACCCCTATTGGAAGTGGGGCTCAACCACAAGAGCCCTGCGCGGATACAAATTTATATCTGCGGATGCGGATATCGGCGGATATCAATTGGTATCCGCAAAACCGTAGGGCTCTCCTGGGAACCATAGCGGTGAAAGGAGCAGAACATGGGGCTGCCGCTCCCAGGAGCCAGTGCCCCATGCTGGCAGCTCTTCCGGCATGGCAGCCCTGGCCCCAGCCCTGCCCCCCATCTGTGTCTCCCGTCTGGGGGAGTGTGTGCTGCTTGAACACGAGAGCGCAACCAGGGACAGCTGCTGGTGAGCCTGGTGCCTGCCCCAGTGGGTGGGGTACTGGGGGCGGTACAGCCCTGCCGGAGGAGCTGCTGGCGTGGGGGATGAAGACGGGCCCTGGCTCCTGGGAGCGGTGCCCCCACGTTCTTCTCCTTTCCCTGCTGCGGTTCCCGGGAGAGCCCAGCGGGTCCACAGACACCGATTTATATCCGCGGATGTATCCCTGGATATAAATTTACATCCACGCAGGGACAGTGCGTGGGTCAGGCCTTGGGGGCAGCCCAGTGCACGGGGGCGGGGGGGGGGGCAGGGTCACGATTTTGGTACCTGTGGTCCCCCAAATTTTAGGGTGCTTCTGCCACTCCTACTTTCTAGCCTTACTTTATGTTTATGAATCAGTACAAATACCCCCAGTATAGACAGGCCCAGAGAGGAGAGAAGATCTCCTCTTCTCTCGGGGTAAGGGGAGGGATAGCTCAGTGGTTTGAGCATTGGCCTGCTAAACCCAGGGTTGTGAGTTCAATCCCTGAGGGGGCCATTTAGGGATCAGGGCAAAAATTGGAGTTTGGTCCTGCTTTGAGCAGGGGGTTGGACTAGATGACCTCCTGGTCCCTTCCAACCCTGATATTCTATGATCTTGGTTTTCACTTGTGTTAGGTCTTCTCCATTGGGACAGAACATCCTTCTGGCATTGTCACATCAGGGGAACAGAAAAAAGCCTGATTGAAACTCATGGGGATACATGCTGGCTTCTCAAAGCAGTTCTTGTAATGGAATAACAATGTGTGAACAAGACAAAGACAGGTAGAAGGAAAATTGCTGTGTACCTGAAGATTGTGACAAGGTAAATTAGTTTTGACAGACTGACGTGAGGAGAGTAACTACAGTATAACAATTCATAGCTCTTGTAAAATTGGTACATAAGTTTCTTTTATTTTCTTCCCTTAATCTATAGCCTCAGAGGTGGTCTGCACACAGAAATTGCACCAATTTAATTAAATCAATGTAATTAAATCAGCACAAAGATATCAGCCACTCTTACTGGTGTAGTTAAAGCAGTACAACCCACTCCCTGCAGTGTGGGCATCGTTATATTCGTATAAAATTGCCTTATGGTTATTCTCCGACCTGAAGGGGGGCAGCTATCTATACTGGAATAACTACAGCCATGCTACTGATATAACTATTTCAGTGAAAAATCACAGCCCTCACCGAAATAGCAATGCCAATAAAAAAACTGGGGTAGACCAGGCCTAAAATGGTTTAAGAGTGTCCACACAAGAAGAGTGCACCGATTTAACTAATTTTACGTAGAGACAGGTTTTCTTAACTCGGTGCAATTTCCGCATAGACTGGGCTTTAGATTTGAACTTACCACTGTTGTATTGGAATCTGGATGGCTCCAGACCGAGGAGGGCCTCTTCTCCTAGATTTAATCTGGGTGCAGTTTAGAGGTGGCAGAGCTCTCCTGAGTTTTCTATCATTGATGGTGGAAGCCGCCTAAGATCAACTGATCTCATCAAAGTGTTGTCATTTGGGGATGGAGGTCTGCGAGAACAGCTCTTGAGACTTCGGTGCCATCAAAGCCAAAACCCTGGTTTGGCCTGGAGTCCAAACACCGGACCCATTATTCAGAAAGGAAGCAGCTGGGTGGTTGAGTGTGTGTGAAAATCTGGAACTAGGTGACCCACCCAAGGTTACACAGGAAGTCTGAGGCACAGCCAGGAATTAAGCCTCAATCTCCAGCTTATTATCTGTGGAGCAATTTGTCCATCCAGAAGATGGAGGGAAACATCCAGTTGATAATGAGCTGAAATGAATGGAAGACAACAGAGACTCCTCAAGATACGGGAACCTTGCAAAGTGTCACCGAGTTTGTGATAACAACAGTCTCAGATATGACCCTATCTGTCTCGTCAACTGACAATCAGTTTTTATTACAGACCAAATACAGCTGCACCCCATTCTGCTCATGCACCAAAGCTGATGGAAACGGCACACTGTCCCAAGGGCTGCCCCTGAACTGGCAGAAGCTCAAGGAGTCTGTAAGCCAGGGACCTGGATGTTTCTCATCTGCTGCTGGGGGACTGGCTCCGTTTGGCTCAGGTGGGTTTAAGCTATACAAGCAAGTTCCTACAACTGTACGGTGGGAAAGAGGGCATCGCTGTAGAGCTCTTCATCTTCTTTGTTTCTATTGTATGGTTTTGCATCTTGGAGTTCGAGAGAGACACAACCCATCACGATGCAATGCTTGCTTTTTAGCCGGCTGTGCATGGGCTGCATGGCCATTTTACACACAACATCGCTGATGCCATGGTGATTCCTGCATGCCCAGCAGCCCGCTGCCTCTGCTCAGCTACTTTGATTGTCTTTTTCAGGCAGCGTCTTCTCTGGCTTT